TGCGCAGGGGCGCGGGTCCACGCCGGCAGGAAAGGAGAGATCTGGATCCGACCCCTCGTCGACGTCATCACCTTCCTCGAGTTCTTCGTCAGGGCCATCTTCCTCCTCCTCCTCCTCGTCTTCCTCATCTTAGATCAAGTGCAAATTCAGAGGTATAAAAAAAAAAAAGTGTCGCCAATTTGATCCCTTTTCAAACTGATGCTCATCGGCCGTTGCTTTGGCAATCAAACGCTGATATATTCCTAGTTTGTCATGAACAGTAGGCGTTGTTAAGTGTCCGAGAGGCACCGAATGATGCCTTTGCAGTTCAACTAAAGAATATTCTGCCACAATTCATATTCTGATTTTTTTGGAGGAACCCGATCCCTCATTATTCAGGAAGCCCCGGATTATTTGCATTGATTGTTCACTGAACCAGTGCTTTCATTCCCAAGCGTTCCCATGACACTTGTGCGGGAGTCTCAATTATTTGCGAGTATTCACTTTTCACTGTCGGCTTCGGTTCCTATCGCAGAGGTTTACTGTACACACCCCGCCTCACAAATACTGGAGATAATCATTTTTGGCCCAGCCTGGAAAGCAGTTTAATTATCTCCAGATTAATTTAATTGGGACTTTCGAATGCACGGTTCCATGTGTTCATTGTTAGAATACTTTTTTTCCCCACAACAAGGGCAAAATTTACACCAGGTCACTTGAGATTTCACGATACAGTATAAAACTGATACTTTCACTGCCAGCCAAAAAAGATACAATCAACGCGAAAAAACGGGAGATTGGGTCAAAACTAAAACAAACCAAACCTTGATTGAATAAGTACGGGGAGAGTGATTTTGAGGAAACTCTAAAAAAAGGGCCACTTTGCTGTACACAAATGCAGTAAAACCCCAAACTAAGAAGTCTAAGACAAGGTTCACCAACGTGGTGATCACCGGGTATCCCCCGAGGAACTGGTAGCCCGTGGCATTCATCAGTAGCCAAGAAATAGCTCTCATCTTCAAAATGGTTGGCGAGCCCGGGTCTGGGATTACCTTGGTCGTCATCTTGATCATGGCAGACGTCGTCATCGTCGTCATCGTCGTCATCGTCATAGTCCTGCTCCGTGTCCATTAAAAAGAGCTTCTGTCTGCTGACGGCCTTCCCCAGGTACCTTCCGTCGCTTTCGGCAAGCATGATGGCATTACTCCGCCGCAGGGCGCCGACGCCGTCATCGGCGTCCGCCGTAATATCGTCGTCGCCGGCGAAAGTGTCAATAACCCGGGCTTTGGTGGCCTCGTCATGGTCATCCTCGGGATCGGTGAACTTTGGGAGAGGGTTGAGGAGGTCTTCGAGCTCCTGCGAGAAGGAATTCGCCATGCGGGGAAACTTCAAACCAGCCAACACAAAAACACGTGATCGCGAGGCGCTTCCAGGCGTATTGTGATGACGTCACCAATACGCGACTCACCGAATAAATCGTTCCGATATTTTTTCTTCAAGCGGAATTTTTTCCGAATTTTTTTTCCCGAAAGTCCGGGTTTTAAACGTTTCAAAAAATACACGTGCGTTCATATTCAAAGAGTTTGCATCAGCATTATAACACTGATATCCCAAGCATATGGCGTTATGTCGCCGCTCAGCACTGCCTGCCGCACCAAAGCCGAGGTGACCGCGGTCATTCTACGCATGCGCAGACGACGTTCCAATCTGCGACTGCTCGCTAGCTCGCTTCGGCGCGAGTTTTCCTCAAAAACAAGAAACAAAGAAAGAAAAAGAAAAAAGAGACAACATCTTACGCTGTGTAAATGTCGACGAGTGACTTCTACTTGAGGTATTATGTTGGCCACAAAGGCAAATTTGGACACGAGTTCTTGGAGTTTGAATTCAGACCCGATGGTAAGTTGATTTGCTAGGCTTCCTTCCAGCTCGCTGTGGCTAGGCTAGGCTCGGCTAGGTTCGGCTAGGCTAGGCCTCAGCCGGTGGAAGCACGCGGCAAACCCTTGAAAGGGTTTTTTTTTTAATCTTGGGGTTGTCGTGTTCGACCTTTACGCAAAGTGTTCGTGAAACGAGTGAAAGTGTGCCACTTTTGAACCTTGAAATGAAACGGTGTTATCGCCATGTGGCCTTGTGCCGGCGGAAGGGAGCCGAGAACAGGAAGTGCAGCGGCAACCACTGTCCATCCATCCATCCATTCATTCATTCGCATTCTTTTTCCGTTTTTGACTTACGTTCAAAGTCAAAAGTGGACATTTATGTTTACTGAGCAAAATGAGGTTGTTTTCCCAGGTTAAAGCTAAGATTTTTGGAGATGGGGTATGATATGCGCAGCTAATGTGATTCATTTACTCGCAAAACAAGACAACTTCAATAAAATGTTTGAAGTTCAACAACAGGCAAGTCCGAAATATTCGCATCACTAACATTCGGCTGAAATAATTTCCAAAATCCTTTGTGGTTTACAGGTGGACTGCGACGAATAATTGTGGGAAAAAGGATGCTTTTTTCTACCCCTCAGTTCATTGATGCATCGGACGAAATTTGTTTTTATTTCAAATCAGGACGTCATTTCTAATAGGCCGTGCAGAAAATACAATACAGTAATCTAAATCGATAAGTTCTCGGTTCCCTTTTTTGAAAACAATTCAGTTGTACTTGTTGACTAATCTCTTCATTGTTGCACCGGCAGTGTATTCTAAGCCAATGTGTACAAAGCATGAATTGTTTTAGCCTAATTTGATGGTCGATTTTTTAAAATTATAATTTTTATTTAATTGAGCCCCTTATCACAAATACAAGTCATTGCATAAAAATGAATGCCAGGTGATTGCGCTACAACAGCTATCATTGCAACGAACGAGTTCCCGAGAAGCGACGGCGCAAACGCGTCCCGCCTCGTGATTGGCGATGATGTCTCATCAGAATGGCGCGTGAGGCTTTCAAGATGGAAATCTGACAGCACGTCGCAGTTGTTGGGTTTTGCGGGCTTAGGAAACGCGATGTCCAACGGGCAGTCTGCTCCAGTTTGGTCAAAATGGTTGCGTAGAAACTCAACATTTCTTTTGTCCGAAATGCCCCCAGGTAAACTGCGCTACGCCAATAACAGCAACTACAAGAATGACGTCATGATCCGAAAGGAGGTAATTATGCTAATGTCGTCGAGTTTAGATGCAGAAGCAAACCTTTTGTGTCGGCGAGCGCGGGTGACGTGCGAGTTGTTGTTTGTTGGGCCCGCCTGCCAGGCGTACGTCCACAAGAGCGTCATGGAGGAGCTCAAGAGGATCATCGACGACAGCGAGATCACCAAAGAGGATGACGCGCTGTGGCCGCCTCCCGACCGAGTTGGAAGACAGGTGGGCTGCTTTTGATTGGATTTTGGGCGGGTGGGCATTTACTCCAAATCCCGACGGCCTTTTTGGGGCGTTTATATGCTGGACGTTTTGCTTTGTGTTTCTGAAGGAGCTGGAAATCGTGATCGGCGACGAGCACATTTCCTTCACAACCTCCAAAATCGGCTCTTTGATTGACGTCAACCAGTCCAAGTGAGGAGAGGACGGCGACGCCTGTTAGATCGTTTTAAATGTGGCCGACTTTGAATGTAATTTCTTTTTTTTTTTAGGGATCCCGAAGGTCTGCGTGTATTTTATTACCTGGTGCAGGACCTCAAGTGTTTGGTTTTCAGTCTGATCGGACTTCACTTCAAGATCAAGCCCATCTAGATGCAGTCCTTCTTGGGTTGTTGCCACGCATTTGTACATTTGCTTCTTCTTCTTTTTTTTTTGTCTACGTTTTAAATAAAGCTTTGAGATACAAGACGACGAGTGGAGCCGTGCTTCAGCAACTTGACCGCATGGAAAAGCGATTTGCTCGACATTACTTCCCCTTTGAATGAAACAACTTTGTCAAATGTACATTTTCCCCCCCTTTTTACCACTGTACCCGATGTACAATGACACTGAGACCCCTCTGAATGAAACAACTTTGTCAGATGTACATTTTCCCCCGCTTTTACCACTGTACCCGATGTACAATGACACTGAGATTTCTCTGGGATACGATGAATCGAAAATAACGACTCATCTTGAAAAAGAACGATTTTTTTTTAAAGACGCCCCCCCCAAAATGACAACTATTTTTTTCCTTCACAATGACCTATTTCCCTTGACAATAAGACTTTGAAAAAAGTAGACTGATGAATCTCAAATTGACCACATAAAGGGCCGTTTACCAGAAAATCGTGATGAATCTTGAAAATCTTAAGCGAGCCTTTGTCCCTCCCGTGTCTCTTAAGACTTGAATTTTTGAGGGGGAAATAATCTGTCTCATTAAATTTGAAACAACACAAACTTCATGTTGAAATGTATGAGGAGGAGTCTTGTGTTATTTCAGTCTTTTTTTTTTCTGCTCACAGTGGCCCCAATAATCCTCCGTAATCAATAGAACATACTTTCACTTCATTTTTTTTATTGCGCCTGTCGGTCTTTTATACAAATCAATGGATACATTTTATTGACACACGTTGGGTGACATGATTCGTTGCCAGTATCCATGGCAACGTGACTGGACATACCATCACATGATTTCCACTTACCCCGTTACGTTTGCCAGCTCGAAAAGGAAGGGAGGAAGGAAGGCCGGCGGCGTCACGCGAGCGCCTTCCCGTCCAGGACGGCAAAGATGTCCTGGAGGGATCGCTCCACGCACCGCAAGAAGCGCGAGACGTCGCGAGCCGGGTAGCCGCTGACGTTGCAACCGATCCAGTCGTCGTGGACGCCGTAGCCCACGCCCAGGCCGTCGGGCACCACGGGGGCAAAGCCGCCCAGCCGCACGGCCGGACTGGACAGCGTGCTGGTGGACAGGATGTTGTGGTTGATGGCGGCGTAGGCGGGGTCGGCGTAAAGCTCGTGCGGCGGACACCCGGCCGATGCCGACAGGTTGAGCAGGGCGAAGAGGTGCCGGTCGAAGCCCTGACCTGAAAAACAAACGGGGAGGGGTCAAGGTGGGGACACCGAAAGACAACCAACCAATGGAGCCCATCCCGACATCTCGACGCAAAAGACGCTGTCATACATAAACAGTTCCAGGACGGTTGGATTTGTTTGCACCAAAGGTTTCGGGGCTTGCCAACCAGCTTGAGGCCACAGCGCCGCCTCGACTACGGAGGCCACCGGGCGCTTGCCTTCGAGCCCCACCTGCGGCTGGCCCGCGCCCGGGTGCGGGAAAACACGTCGCGACGTTTGTCTTCCTCCGTTGGTCCCTCAACCCCGGACCCGTTTGCCAAGGGCGACTATGCCAGGGGCACAAAAGCCCAGACAACCGAGCAACTCGGATCATCGCAACGCACCGACGAACCCCGGCCGCCAGCTAAAGGGGGGCGGCGGCCGGCGGAGCCACAAGGTGGCGTGCGAGTGAATTTGCAAAGCCCAGCGGGGGGCGACCTCACCCATGGCGGCCTCCTTGGTCAGCTGCCCGTGGTAGGCGGAGCACTGGCGCAACATGTCCAGCAGCCCGTCGGCGGTGTGTCGGGCGGGCTCGCCGACGAAGGCGCGCGCGCAGCGCTTGGTGAGGGCGCTGGCGGGGCGGATGGTTTCCGTGCGGCCGTGCCTGAAGGCGGCCGTGCTGCACGACTCGTACGTGGCCACCGTCTGGCCGTACTGCCGCAGGAAGGCCATCTGGAAGGCCAGCTGCGCCACGGCGTCCGGGCTCAGCTTGGACTTCTTCAGACGCTCCTTACCGCCACCTAGAGGGAAAACTTGTGTCATTGCAGCCCATCCACGAAAAACGCCACCAGCTCGGCGGTCGACTTGTGCACGGGATTGTCGTGCTCCGGACATTTTCGCTTTTATTTGGGCGTGTCCGAGTGGCACCTTGTTCTGTTTGTACTTGATCATTGGGCATTTCTGCACAATCGTCAAACATGTTTCAGGTGAGGAAATACTGACATCGGCACGCGACCGCTACTACCCGTGAGGTGGTAAACCAGACGTGTCCAAACTACGGCCCGGGGGCCCTTTGCGGCCCAGCCTCCGTTTTTCGGAGGCCCGCGGCAGGACTCAAACTGAGCAAATGAATGAATAATATTTGGTTCAGAGTAAAAGGGGGGCGGTACCTGTAAACTGCATAGCGCCGATGGTGAGCTGGGACACGGCGGCGTCAAATCCGGCTTTGGCCGCCTTGATGCCGGCCCGCAGTTCATCGTCCAGCTTGAAGCTCAGCCGGCGCACCTGGGACGCCGAGTGGGCGCTAGTAGCGCAGCCGGGGTGCACTAGCGGCTTGCGGGTGGTGTCCTTGTAGATTTCGTTAAGGAAGCGCAGCACGGCCACGCCGTCGCCCCACGAGTGCTCAAAGTTGATGGCGGCGTGGCCGTCTTGGGCCACGATGATGCTGAACGACTTGTCAAACCTGCGGGGGAAGAAAACCAAACGGCGGTGAGCGGTCGTGAAGGCGCACTCGCTGCCTTCACGAGTACGACGACTCGGCATACGAGCGTAAAGACTCCCCGGTGTGCCGAACTGTCTTACGCGTGAGGAGAAAGCGCGTCATGCCAGAACTAGTTCAAAGCTGTCTGTGCGCTTCGCTCGGGAGGAAAAAGTCACGTTCAACTCGTGCGTTGTGGACTGCCTCAGGAGTGAGGAGCAGGAGCCCACGGACGCGCCTACCAGCGGTTGACGCCGTCGCCGTGCAGCATGTTGTGCGACGCGGCCACGGTGTCGCTCAGCGCCACGTCGTCCAGGCACAGGCAGAAGAGGGCGCTGTCCACCGCGGTCAGGGCCTCGCCGTTGCCGCCGGCGACCAGCTTGTCCCTCAGCCCCGCCCACACGTCGCGGTTCTCCGTCGTCAGCGCCCCCAGTGGGAAGTCGGGCGGTGGGGTCGCGTCGGACAGAATGTGGCTGCGGGGGGGTGCGCAAGAGACAGCGCGATGGACTTTGAGGACAGGCGAGAGCTCTTTGTGTGTGAGCCAGGTGCCATCGCAGCGCTTTGGAGAGCGGGCGTACCTCAAGTTGTCGCGTATCTGGGCCGGGGGCAGCATGTTGCCGTCGCGGTCCAGCACGTCAAAGACATACATGTTGCCCTTCCTCATGACCAGCAGGTGGCGCCCCGCGGGGTCGGTGAAGAGCCGGTCCCGGCCTGGCCGCGGCAGGCGCGTGGAGTTGAAGAGGCGGAAGTACTGCGACATGTCCAGCGGGTACGCGTTGACCATGTAGGCGCCGTACCAGGCGAGCCGGGCGGGCGCCCAGCGGATCAGCTTCTTGAAGGCGTCCGTGTCGCTGCGAGCCGGGTCCAGGTGGAACACCTCGGGCTCCAGCAGCCCGGCGCGCAGCGTTTTCATGAAGCGCACGGCCGAGCACACCATGTTGCCGGCGCGCACCAGCTGCTGGTTGTACTCGCGCTTGGGGTCGTCGTTGAACGACATGAAGGGGTTGAAGTTCAGCACCACCGGATCGCGCGCCGACAGGTACATGTCGAACCACGGGCCTGAAACACGGCGTGCGCGGGTGAGGGGCAGGGGGCAGGGGCCGTCTACAGAGTTGATCGCTTTCCTCTCAATCCAGGGCCACTGGAGCATCACCTGAGATGTAGCTGGTGTGCTTGTTTTTTCTGTCCTGAGTCAGCAACTCCTCCTGGAGTCTCCTGCCTTCACCAGCCAGGAAGTCCTGGGCCACCTTCTCTGTGTTGCTTAAGGAAAACAAAGATGGTATTTCATTTGGATATTCACCAAAACTGAAGATGCTAATGACCTTTGTCATTTGGGGGAGAGTTTGATCACACCTGTATTGTCGGTCGTCCAGAAGAGGCCGTTGAGCGGCTAAGTACCTCCTGATGGTGTCCTCCAGTTTAGGAACCGGCAACCTGGACCAGGCAACAGCAGGTCGATGTCAAGGTAACATTTAGACCTGAGCTGCGCAAGTCCGGTCCTTGAGAGCCCCTCTCCTGCCTGTTTTAATTGTATTCATTCAAATGATGGGCTCATCGGCAAGCTTTGCAAAAGTCTGACAACGATCCGAGGAGAGAGAGACGGAGAGAGAGAGAGCAGGCAGTTCGAGGACCGGACTGGCATGTCACACAGAAGGTACAAATGTTATGTTTTTTGTTGATGTTTTTGGAAGTCTGACTCGTGTCTATCTCAAATAAGCAAAAGGTCGCCCTCTAGCGACCACTGGGTGATTTCCAATGTGCACTTTCACCTACACTCAACGAAAACGTTGAACGTGTCACCTTGTGGGGAGTTAAAGTGACGTTCTCACCTTGGTAAACTCTTCTGATAGTGCATCGTGGGCACAAGGCTTCTGTGCAAATACTCC